AGCGGGTTTTTCCTGTCGTATGACCGCAGACCCGCAACACACAGCTGCTGTCATATACGACAACACACTGGCACTCTACTGCAGGCTCTTTTAAACTCTTATCTATAGACGGATCATAGTGTAGTAAGCATTTCATCAATCCAATCTCTGAATAGGCATTACAAAAAAAAAGTAGCTTTAGAAAGAAATTGTAATTCAACATACAACAATACAAATAAATACTGAAATATGAAATGATTTTAAAAAAGAAACAATGCTCTAAATATAAAACTAAAAGCGCCACTAAGTGGTGGCAAATCACTGTCTTAAGTAAGTCATTCAGTCGATTCAAACAAACGGCTGATTCATTCAGAAACGAAGCAAGTGACTGCCTTTATAAATGGCTCACTGAATCATTGACTCACTCGATTCGTTTAAAAACGTGGATTCATTCGGTAAAGAAACACCGCTGTGTGTTGATCGCAACAGTTCTCCAAGGGCTTTATTTTCATTGCCGTAATTATTGACAGTGTGTCTAAAATTTTATTATTTTGCACCTTTACGTTATCTTAATTTTTAAGTAAAAACTTTAATGTAACCTATTTTTGTATTTCTACCAGCCAATGATGATTCTGAAAGAAAACACGCAGTGTTTGTTATAGTAACACATGCAGCTTTCACGCGCATCTGACAGAACCGCAGTATTATAAATGCACGTCTTTGAATGAGCGCTGTAGTGTATTCTTCAATTGCTCAGGTAATGTCAATACGACCCATTTCAGGGGCTGCCAAAATGATATTTTAAAATCAGCCAGGGCTATAGAAATGCATATTAATATTTACAAGTAAATCTCCATATAATTTATCTATAGACGGATCATAGTGTAGTAAGCATTTCATCAATCCAATCTCTGAATAGGCATTACAAAAAAAAAGTAGCTTTAGAAAGAAATTGTAATTCAGCATACAACAATACAAATAAATACTGAAATATGAAATGATTTTAAAAATGTTAAAATACTGTCTTTAAATATTCTTTCAGACAAAGACAGAGATTCAAACAAATTGGTGAATCAGACTTACAAATCTATGAATCAGGTTGAAGTGAATCAGATGTGCAAACTCAAAAATTCAGTGCAAATATATCACAAATATCGAATATGTCTAACAAATTAGCTAATTCAAAAACTTTGAATTGCTAGTAGCGCTGCACGATATATCGTTTCAGCATCGATATATCGCGATCGATATCCTTGTAAACACAGATGCTTATGGCTTTAAGTGAAGGTAAACAATTGAGAAAGAAATGGATGTGTAACAGTATATTGGTTCACAGCAGTTTAATGTTCCTGAGGCACATGCAGCTTTCGTGCGCGTCTGACTGACAGAACCGCGCACTTGTATTCCAGCGGTGCTGTTAATGTTACGGCTAGTTTAGCAAATAGTTTTCTTCATGAATTCAGTTCAACAGAAGAGGGTAAACTTTATCTCTCGACTGAATCTGCACATGCATTTTAGAAGGTGTTCTTGCTCCGTCCAAGCAGTAAATGCAAAGAGCTCCGTATAGCGTAACTTCAACCGCTCAGGTAACGTCAATACGACCCATTGCAGGGGCTGACAAAATTACATTTTAAAATCAGTCAGAGCTATAGAAATATTGGTTCACAGCAGATTAATGTTCCTGTTGCTTTCTGTGTCATGAATGTTGATCAAACAACAAAACGCGTAGAGAAAAATCACTTTTGTAGCTTTAACACAGATTTATTAGATTTAATTTATACAGTGAAGACTCTATGCAGTGTTATTTTACATTTGATTATTCAATTTCTGTTAGACTTACCTGAAAAATATAAAGCACTGTTTATTTATTTCTATCATATTTATATTTATCCGTGCTTGTAATTTGTTTATTTTCTATGCTGATTTACTCTCCTACAAAATCACACCAATCATTGATAATCTTTTTTCCAAATAGAGCTATTCAAGTCATCCGGTGATTTTTTTTTTCGTATCACAATATATATCGCAGAAAAACAAGATATCACAATGTGAATTTTTTCCAATATCGTGCAGCTCTAATTGCTAGTCTACTTGACGTGATCGTAAAGAAAATTAATGGTGGGGGAAAACAATAAAAAAAATACAATGTTGGTTTATTTTCCATTGCCAAAAAATCATTGCAGATATCTAATATCCCGAATATTCGATGCGTGTAATGAATTTGCAAATTCAAAAACAAATCACTAGTCTTAACTGACGTGATCTTGAGAGGACTTAATGGGGCGGGGGATTAATTATAGTAAAAAAAAAAAAAACTCAATGTTGATTAATTTTATAGTGCCAAAAAAATCAGTGCCAGTATTTGCAAAATCAAAAACTTTTGTGACTCTCTATTGTAAGTCTACTTGATGTGATCTTTAGGAAAATTGTAAAAAAAAAAAAAAAAATGTATACAATTTGGGTTCATTTTCTATTGCCAAAAAAATTGTGCAAATATATAATGAATATCGGAAACGTCTACTGAATTTGCAAATTCAAAATCATTGCGAAACGCTAGTTTACTTGATGTTGTCTTGAGGAAACTTAATCATGAAGAAAAAAACAATGATTATAGTGAAGTTTAAAAAAAAGAAAAAAGATAACATTTTGGTTAATTTTCTATTGCCCAAAAAATTTTTTTTTTTTTTAAATCAGCGCAAATGTATCACAAATATACACAAAATCCAAACCTTTGCGAATCATCATTGCAAGTCTACTGTGATCATGAATAAAATTAATGGTGGGGGGAATGATTATAGTGAAGTTTAAAAAAAAGAAAAAAGATAAAATTTTGGTTAATTTTCTATTGCCCAAAAAATGTTTTTTTTTTTTAAATCAGCGCAAATGTATCACAAATATACACAAAATCCAAACCTTTGCGAATCATCATTGCAAGTCTACTGTGATCATGAATAAAATTAATGGTGGGGGGAAAAAAAAACTTAATATAATAAAATTGGTTAAAAAATTGATACAATTTTGTTTAATTTTCTATTACCAAAAAATGACTGCAAATATATCATGAATATTGGATACTACTACTACCATCATTGCGAATCGCTAGTCTACTTGACGTGATCTCGAGGAAACGTAATCATGAGGGAAAAAGGAAGATTGTAGTAAAATCTGATTAAATAAATTGACAAAAAAAAACTCAGCACAAATATATGACGAATATTGGATCGCTGTTTGAACATGGTAATGGTAAACTATATTATGAAGTGCTTTTCAAACATGTAACCCAGTAGATTCAGGTTTTCCCTTAAACCATAAATCTTCATCAGTTCAGAACAAATGAAGAATTTTCCACAAGGTCATTGGCTTCACCAAGTGTCGAGTTGTTTCTGTTGTGGATTGGTAACATCCAAAACCTCTTGTTCACTCTGTGAACGCTTCAACCAACCGTTGAGTCTGCAGTGACAGATACGAGCTTCTCCTTATACGGTCACATGCAGCCATGGCCGTTTGTGTTCGTTTACTGCTTATATAAACACTGAGCTTCAGCGGAGCCGCTCCTTCATTGGTGGAAAGAAACCTGAAAAAAGCCAGAGGAATTTGAAGGAGGGCAGGACGAATTCCGGGACTTATTGAGCTTGATCCACAAAACCCAGAATCTGAAAGCAAATGCTGCACGTTTATCAGTCATGTGCTGCAAGTGTGAAAATCAGAAGCCCTTCTATTATAGATATTTATGTAATATATATATATATATATATATATATATATATATATATCATCAATATCTATAATAGAAGGGCTTCTGATTTTCACACTTGCAGCACATGACTGATAAACGTGCAGCATTTGCCTTCAGATTCTGGGTTTTGTGGATCAAGCTCAATAAGTCCCGGAATTCGTCCTGCCCTCCTTCAAATTCCTCTGGCTTTTTTCAGGTTTCTGTCTCGTTCAGCCCTTGATCAGCAAAAGATACAAAATTGGTTAATTTGCAGCTTGAAAAATTTAGCTGTTAAATCACTTTAATATTGAAAAAATATTCCAAACAAGTATTGTCAACAGAGTATGTGTTGTTTACAAATAAAGAAAATAATGTAAAAATATTGTAAACTACCATCAACACAAAATTAGTTTTTGTTTTTATGAACAATAGTATTACTTATTTAACTAAAGTATTATTAAATTAAATTATGAAATGAAGCATTTAACCTAGAGCTTTTGTTGAAAATGTTGTAACCACGTGACAAAAATAAATGAATAAATAAACATTAGTTAAAAATTTATACAAAAAACAAAACAAAAAAAAGCATCTTTAAAAAAAACTTTCCAAGTCAGTTAATGCAACAGTCAAAAAATAAATAGATAAATAAAAAAATATATATAAAAAAAAAAAAATTATACATTATTTATTTAAATATTAAAAATAATTTAATAAATTAAATTTAAATGTAGTAAATGTAAACATTTAAAAAAGTTATGAAAAAAATTAACCCAGGACATTAAAGTACACAATAATCATTAAAATAATTTCTATATTACATGTATGTAATATCAATTTATATACAAAAACTTACATTTTTATATGTATTTAAAAAATGCACATAGGGTACACTTTATATTTGTGTAAGATAAATTTTTTATTAAAATTAGCCGTTTTTGTTACTGATAAATACAAAATAACAAATGAAGGCATGGTAGGGAAAAAAATATTTTTATAAATTAAGAAAAACAACTCATGGCATTAAAGTGCAGAATAATAATTAGAATAATTTATATATTAAATCCAATTATCAGTAGATATTTATTTGAATATAAATACATTTTTACATGCATACAAAATGCACACATATAAACACACACACACTTAATGTACATTGTATAGTCATGGGAGATCATGTTTTATTATTCATTTTTAATTACTTTTATTTAGTGGAATTTTTAAATGAACTACTAATAAATTGAAAGGATTTGGATTGTAATAGATCAGCTTTGTCACGATGTGTGGCACTAATTCTCTCTGCACCAATCATCAGCCTATCACTGCAAGTGTGTCGACCCATGGCTGACCAAAACCAAGAAGACCTGCCCCGTGTGCAAGCAGAAGGTCGTGCCGTCTGACGGCGACTCCGAGTCCGAGTCGAGCGACAGCGAGGAGAACGAAGTGTCGGAAAACACACCCCTGCTGCGATCTCTGGCCTCCACCAGCGCGCATTCCTTCGGCACCATGTCCGGCTCGCTGTCCCGCCCCGATGCCGAGTCCTCGGACTACGACGAGCGCAGCGACACTACCGACAGCGAGGAGGAGGTTACCGTGGAGACTGTGGTCGTACAGCTGCAGCAGGGGCGTCCCGACAACATGGAGGCCAGCGCTTGAGGCGTTAGCCGCCGCTAACTCGAACTCTCAATGAGATTCCAATACATTTCACCGTCACTTACAGATTATCGTCACAAACCTGTTCGGCAATACTATGCAGCGAAATTTTATAAATCATGATTTCCCCCCAAATGAAGTGCGCAAATTTAGCCAACTTGGATGTCACCTTTGGGAATGTCGTTAGCGCTTGCTGCCAAACTCATCTCAAACCTGTATCCGATCGCAACCAACTGCATGTTTTATACGACACCATAAGACTTTATTAGCGACACTGACAATACCGTTTTAGTTTTGATCATTAACAGCGGAGCCGTTCTATACACCAGTCACTCAAGAGATCTTGGAAGTGTAGTTAGGTATAACACATTTATATACTGTAAGTAGGAAGTAAGTTGGGTAAGTAGATTCGAAGGGTTTTTTGTTTGTTTTTTGATAACACAACGTGAACTGTTACCGATTGTCTGGTTGCCTTTTAATGTTGCTTTACTGTAAATATACCTTTCTGCTCACCCTTGTTTCTAAATAGTCTACATTAATTTCTCTTCATGAATAAAATACTACACCTTTTGCTGTTTGTGTGTCGTTTTGTCATCCAGCGCTTTGCACATGGTTTTAAAGGTTCTGTATGTAATTTTTTTGACTGCATATAATGCTGTATCTTTGCAAATATGTGACCCTGGAGCACAAAAGCAGTCTTAAGTCGCTGGGGTATATTTGTAGCAATAGCCAACAATACATTGTATGGGTCAAAATTATAGATTTTTCTTTTATGCCAAAAATCATTAGGATATTAAGTAAAGATCATGTTCCATGAAGGTATTTTGTAAATTTCCTACCGTAAATATATAAAAACTTAATTTTTGATTAGTAATATGCATTGCTAAGAACTTCATTTGGACAACTTTAAAGGCATTTTTCTCTATATTTAGATTTTTTTGCACCCTCAGATTCCAGATTTTCAAATAGTTGTATCTCGGCCGAATATTGACCTTTCGGATGATGTATAAATCTCAATTTCTAAAAATATTCACATATTTAGAAAACATGCTCAGTTCTCATATTTGTTTCTCCGAAAAACAAAGCTAGAGTCAGTTATTCTACTTTGAAATGTGAGTTCCGTGTCGGAATGTCTGTTTTTGTTTTGGTCTGTATGACTCCGCCCACTGCCAGTTTACCCAATAGTATGTGGAATAGGTTGTGGAAAACACAGCATACTGAAGCCAGCAAACTGGATCAGAGATCTAAAAAGCCTCGGCTCTATGACCTGACACCTATTAAAGCGTGGATAAATCAGTCAAGTCGATTTAAAGTGTTTAAGGCTTGTTGCCTTCCGTTGTCAATTGCACTCGTTCCTGCTGTGTCCTCAATCTGGCAACCCACACGAGCATTGAGTCTACTGTAAAGAGAGGGAGAAACGACATTCTCAAGTATTTTGAATTTGGATGGTCGTACCCATTTTAATCATTAGCTGTCAATACTACATACTGCACCTAATACGTTAAAGCTGCAGTCCGTAACTTTTTTTTGGTTAAAAATGAGCCGAAATCAATATTTGAGCAAGTACTATAAGTATTTAGCCAGATGCACAGCGGTTAGCTTATAATAATTTAAATAATTTGAGTGGTACGGGTAGGTTTTTACGGGAAATTCGAGCATGCTGCTGCGTCATTACGTCACGTCTGTAAACATAAAGAAGTTGTCCCGGCTACTAGACTATCGCATGTGAGGATCCTGAAGGTGGAGGATCGTTTATAGCCTTTTCTCACAGCAGCCAGAATAATTAAATATATCATTTTGATAGTGGGTTGTAATCCAGAAAGGATTATGTGTTTATGAAACACATGTGAATGAAATTAAATTATATTCCAGTTTTAAATGTGCATCTGATTACAGATAGCCTGGGATTACACAAGATCTGTATTTTAAAGAAAACCAGTTCGAAGGGAGAATTAGCTTTTTGGGTTAAAATAATTTCTCAATATGAAATTCGAATGGTATGACAATTAGATTAGACTGTACAGAAATTTAAATCTACATGTAACACTAATACACACTATAGGCAATGCTGATGTTGTTAACATTAATAATTTGAACGGTTTGATGTGATATGAACTAATTTAGATTTAATCACCATTGGTAGCGAGATTTATTTTAATGCTGTTTTCCTCAGTTGGTCAGAACAAACGTGGCAGATTTGTTACTTACTTGTTCAGATGGCAATATCCGGTGAAAATGCTTATGTGTGTCATATTCCAAGACGTACGCTAGAATCTGTGATTGTGAAGTACAGTAAATATCCACACCGGTGAACAATATAAACAAGTAGACCTAGAAGTAAAGTGTACACAAATCTTTAATATTGAGACAAATACAAAGCCATAGTTTGATTGTTACCATTGTCCTTTTATATTTTTGCAATTGACATTCTAAATCCCAAATTTATAATAGTTTTTTGAACCAAAAAAAAAAAAAGGTTCTGAGAGAAATGTGGTTTTGCGCAATAAAAAGTAAAGTGTGCACAAATCTTTCATATTGAGACAAATACAAAGCCATATTTTGATTGTTACAATTGTCCTTTTATATTTTTGCAATTGACATTCTAAATCCCAAATTTATAATAGTTTTTTAGAACCAAAAAAAAAAAGGTTCTGAGAGAAATGTGGTTTTGCGCAATAAAAATAATCTTTGGAAACTTTCCACGATTTTTTTTTTTTTTGGAAAGTTTCTGAAAATTTACCAAAAAAGTTTCATCCCTTTGCAACCTTAATTTAAAACAAACCCATTTATCTTTTTTTTTTTCCATTAACATTTTTCCTTTTGTGCAATAAATCCTTATGACCATTTGTTCTTTTTTGTGCAATAAAGTAACATTTTATTTTATAAAATTAAACAGAAAAAAAAATCCATATTTCATCAAGTTCTTTCAACAGATTCTGTGTTGCTCATTACCACATAATGGGGAAAAAAAAAGGAAATTTGTATTTGATTTATTTTTTTGGTAACCGATGAAGATCTGATAGAAAGTTTTAAAACACTGTGACATTCAGTTAAAGTTTGACTTCTCCATTTTTATGTGCAAAACAGGAAAAATTGTGTGCAATAAAACATGTCTTCCATGAATTTCCAATTTTTGTGCAAACAGTCCATTATCTTCTTCAAACTTAAAAAAATGAATTATTATAAAGCATTAGATGAACCCTTAAATAACACACAGCAAAGAAAACCGACAAGTAACTGGGTTGGAACAGATTTATTTAATCTGTCTGTAAACAAGGTGGTGAAATTAATTTATGGCATTTCTCAGTTTTTATGCATATGAAATCAGACATATCAGACTGTATCCAAGATGTATGAAAAAGTACAGGGGAAAAAAGAAATGAACTAGAGTCACCTGTACAAATACCCCACAAGGCCAGAACTTCAGCTGATACTAAAAACCCCTGAACAAAGCAGCGACAGAATCATTCGGGAAGCTGTTTGAATCGATAACAACAGATTCTCTACATTATGGCACAGGATACACATTATGATTTGAGTGTCACATTTGGACTTGATGAAGCATCAAGTTTTGACAGACAGTTGTATCGCTGACGACTCGAAGGCAATTTATTCCACAGTCATGACAGTACGGGTTCAATTCGATTCAAGTGTCGAGGTGAAGTCTGCGATCAGACGCTAGTTTTTTGTTGGTTAGCATTTATGGTAGTGCGTAAATAACCCAAGCAGTGACAAAAATTGGTCCGACTGAAAAGAAACTCTAAACCGCTGATACCCACTGTCTGAAATGGCAGTCGTCTTGAAAATTAATGATATATTACATAAGCTAGCAAAGTAAGTGCAATGACGGAATGTCAATAAACATTCAATTGTGGGGTTGATGGGGGGGAAAAATCCTACCTGCAGTTCAAAAATCACAGTAAAGCCAACTAAACGAGGCTTCAACTTGAGAAAAAATATCAATCGGTAGTGTCGCGTTTACAGTTAGTGTTGATGCGCCAATGGAGACAAACTTCAGGTTGAGGAAAAATGACAAAACGGGCATTTGTTAGAGCAGACGCCATATTTCATTTGACGAAAACGCTAAATATGTCGTCTACCCTAACTAGGGTTCATTCGGTAGGCTTGTAGATATGCATACAGTCGACCGTTCCCAGATTGGATCTAGGAATGGGAATATGAGTTGAGCTCAAGCCCTTGGTTAATCAACCAAACTCCCAAAAAAAAAAAAAGACGAAGTTTTCACACTAGCTTTTGGTCTGAAGCGCGCCATGGGATCGTAGTGCCAAAATGGGACCGAACTCACTAAATGTACATTAATGGGAAAGAAATGGGGTTTGGGTAGCTCAAATGGAAGTAAAGTTGAAAACCAATGGAAGATGAAACCATCTAGAAGGGTTAGCAGAATGAGCAGCTAGGATTGGAGGTGTCTTAATATCCAGATTTCCTCAGGTATTCAGCCATGAGATACGCTTTCTTGTTGAGCAGCCCTCCATGGGTGCCTTCCTTGCCCATGACTAAAACCAATGCTGGAGTACAAAAGGGGGGAAAAAAACAAGAACAAAAATCAACAAACTTGAGGGGGAAAATTAAAGAAACGACTTTCCCAACTTAAAAAGCGATGCAGTTGTTTACAAGATTCATTACCCTTCCTTGCCATTAAGATGTCCAAAAACGTTACATGTGTGTCAAGGGGAGGGGGTGGGGGGGCAGCTTATTTTTGGGAATGCGGGTGACGTTTTTTCTCTTCCCCTAAATTTCACTACTTGATCAAGAAAAAAAAACAAAAAAAAACTAGAACCCTGAATCTCTCAAGTATTTTGCCATTGAATATGCCTTCTTATTCAGGCCGCCACCGTGGACCCCTTCTTTGCCCATTACAAGAACCAAGACTGAAAGAAAAAGACAGAGAGAGGAAGTTAAGAGGACAGGAAAATCCCAGCACTGGAAAAAAGCCAAACCAAGATCAACGAGGCCAGATAGGACAGATAAAATAACTAGAGCTTAATATTTAAAGGTATTAAAAATATATAAGTAATTTTAAGTTATGAAACGATGTAAGATTTAAGTTAAGAATGGACTGTCATGATAATGTTGCATTGCAAAAATAATATAAATAATTAGAATATTTAATATAGTACTATACTATATATTACAATTAATATTTGTAATTAAAGCTTTTGAAAAGTTCTAAAAACAATATTATAAATTAAATATAGTTATTAGTACATAGTATTATACTATTTATATATTACAATTAATGTATTTGTAATATTATTATAATTTCATAAATTAATTTCCCTTTTTTTTGGCCAGTATAAGCTACACACTGGATCAGATGTTATGCTAATCAAAAATCTGCTTAATTATATAATTACTCTTAAGTAATGGTTGACGACGGGCCGCTGAATTATTAAACATTAATGCACATCTGAGGTGGTAATGCGGCACTAATTTATCATCCATTATCCTGCTTGTACCACGATTACCAAAGATTTCCAAGTTTTTCTCTCAATACATTATATTTTTCATCCTTAAAACACTCACACATACTACTTCCTTGCACATCTTGCCTTTATGGAAATATTTAAAGCTATTTTTACACTGCTGTTTTTTTCCTGGTTCTTTTGCTGTTGCAGGCCGTAGGGCTCTTGGAAATAGCTGAAATAATTTGGCAAAGTGATCGGGAACTGTAATGCAGTTAATCACAGTTCAACACCTTATAATGTCTGTCAGCCAATCAGAATCAAGAATTCAACAGCGCTGTAGAATAATGAACCTTCTTACAATGTTACCATTTAAGTTTAGCAATGACCAAACAACTAGTATATTCATCTGGAGATATAGATGTGGATTTCCAGAAAGTGTTGATTAGCCTAAGTGGTAGAGAAATAGATTGTAGCATGTGATTCATGCAATTCGAGCAGGAAAAGCAAGTTTAGTTCCTCTCCTCAATACATGCCATGAGCTATAAGAAAAAGATTGATTCATGAAGGAACACTTTATTTCAGGAAACAGGAAATCCTCTCACATTTTACCGAGCGACGGAGCCCAGATGTGTGTGAGAGTAGCAGAAACACACATGCATGTGAGAGGGAATGTACCTGGACAGGTCCCAGAAACTTCCTGAACACCTGAGCTCAAGTCTCGTGATCAACCAAGACGCTCGAAAATCACTAGCTAGAATAAAACGCTGCATTCCTTTGCAAAAAACGGTGTCAAAAACCCACATTGGTAAAAGCAAGATTCTCAAAGAAAGGCTCAGGCTATATATATATATTTCAGGCAAAATTAGGATTATTTTTCAGTCTATTAGGATTTTTGCATTACATTTTCCTCACTACAGTGTGTATATGAAGAGTTCATTTGCAAAAACATAGAAATCCATTTTTATTTATTTTCAGAAATCACGTTTTTTTTATTGCACATTCCAAGTAATATCAATCAAACTGCAGTTGGGTTGTTTTGATTAAGTAATGATAACTGAAACAAATCCAGGTAACTTACAAAATTAAAGTTCATTGAAAGTATGTTTTTTTATATTAAACGTTTGTTTTATAGCAAAAGCAGATAACTCCACATTTCATGTTTTAGAGTTTAAAAAACACTAATTTAATCTTTGTAATCTCCTCAGATGACAATGTAGATGCCTGACAAACGTCGGATTTATCGGCTTCTGTTCAAAAACAACAAGGGCGCTTGTCGGCATCTGCAGTAAAACCAAGCGGCAACCTCCCGCTCTCTCTCGTGAAGCCAACAAGGAAGTGATTTAAACTGTAATTCATCAACTGGCCGCTAGAGGCTGGCTGCAAAAGGGAGTCAATCCCATAGACTCCCCATGTTAAAATGCCCAACTTTACAGCTGAAAAAAAACATGTTTACAGCCTGGTTCAAAAAATGATTTTGGTCTATATAGCTGATTTTGCCCTTCATGACAACTGAGGGGGGTGAATTTTTTTTATAACTCATCCGTTTAAATTATATTAAGCCTTAAAGTTCTGCATAATTAAGGGCGTGGCCACTTGAGTGACAGGTGAATTGCCGTTGCTGTCACCGGATATTTAAATTTGTTTGATGATCTGAAACATTAAAATGTGACAAACATGCAAAAAAATAAGATATCAGGAAGGGGGCCAACACTTTTTCACACCACTGTATATATATTCACCCACTGATGTGTCACTTCACAGCACCTAATTGTGAATATTTAATGGATTTTAAATAATTTTTTAAAACTATTTATAGAAACTATCATTATTTCCGCTTCCAAGTCTGCCTCAGAAAATATAATTTAAAATAATCAGGATACATAAATTTAATGTACATAATGAACAAGACTCCTGTGTTATACAGGAAATATATTGAGGAAAGGAAACGTCTACATTATTATTCATCTACCTCAAAAAAAAAAAAAAATGGAAGTTTTACTAACAAAAGATATTTGTGATGAAATAAGAACAGACTAGTACCTTTGGCTGCTTTGCCGACAGTGATGTTGTACGTGGCCTCTCCTCCTTGACTCTTTGTCCTGATGTCCATTGTCCAATCATTGTCGACTAGGAGGCTGTCTCGGATAACTGAGCACTTCTTTGAACCTAAGGTCAGGCCGTTGGTGAAAAAACCTTCTCGGTCTTTTCCTACTAGGACGTCGATTTCTGTGGGCTGGTGTTAAAAAAAATAAAACCATATTAAATGTGGAACTGTTTCTTCTTGTCTAGTCTTTTACATTTTAATATGGATTAATGAACCACCAAATGCAGGTAGGCGGTTAGATGAGCATGATAATTTATGGAGAGATCCATGCATATTTTAGATAAACTAAAGATACAAAGTCATAGAAATGTCATCATGCACTTTGAACATCAATGAGTCATTAAGAACACAACAAAAAGATAAGTTAAATATAGTGGGCTAGTCAGTTAAAACTAGCTGTTTTGTGCACAATGTTTACTTTTAGAGTGAAAAGACAAATTAGCAGCTGTTGGAAACACCTGGCCTAGACACGACTTTAACCTTTATTTTTTATTTTTTTTATGAAATCTGCCTGACAACTCAGTTTTTGTTTTCATGTAGTGTTGATAAAGCTGCGGTCACATCAGTGAAATATTGGCAAAATTTCACAAACAAAAACGTACATTGTCAATAGTGACATTGTCGTAGTGATGTACAAATTAACACTTTGTAACCAAGAAGCTTTCTGTTGGTCAACATAGCATATTCACGTGACCAATTTGAACCCAATAAAAAAAATGTGAGGGGAATTTTGCCCCTATTAAAATAACTGTATTTTGCTGACAAAATTAAAAATTAGTAAAATTTTGCAGGCAAAAAAGGTCCGTTTTCAATGTAGCAATGTTTGGATTCTATCAAACCAATCAGCTTTTGGTTGATCAATGTGGCGAATTTGCATGACCAACTTGAATGATTACTAAATCTGCATGGGGAAATCTCTCGGCTTTGCACAAAATTCCCAATAGTGCATACTCCTAATGAAATGGCTGGATTTCACCCCGAAAATTTTGCTGAGCAACAATGGATGTCAAATTAGTGAAATTTTGCTTAAAATAAAGATCCACTGTCAACAGTGTTGCAATGTTTCAAACATCTCACACCAAAGTCACTTTTAAACCAATCAGCTTTCTGTTGGTCACTGCTGCGAATTTGCAAGACCAACTTGAGCCCACTGTGAAATCTGTTGGGAAAAGTTCCCAATCATGCAGACTTCTATTGAAATCACCATCAAAATTATGCTGAGCAACAATCAATTTGTCAAATTAGCAAAAAATATAAAGGTCCATTGTCAAAAGCATAGCAATGTTTCAAACATATCTCACACCAAAGTCACTTTCAAACGAATTAGCTTTCGATTGGTTAATGCGATTAAATCACATGACCAAAAACACAATGCGAAATCTGTGTGGGCAAATCTTTTAGCTTTGCAAAAAATTCCCATTCTTAAAGATTACTGTTGAAATGACTGGACTTTGCCCACAAAATTCTGCGAGTAATAGTAAATGTGTCAAATTAGCTAGCCTACATTTTGCAGGAAATAAAAGTCTAATGTCAATAGAGTAGCGATGTTCAAGCACGTTTCACACCAAAGTCACTTTCAAACCAATCAGCTTTCTGTTGGTCAGTGCAGCGAATTACTTATTTTGAAAATTTGCGTTCGGAAATTGTCTGGGAAAATTTAGGCAAAATTCACAATTATGCAGATTCCTATTGAAATGACTGGATTTCACCCACAAAATTTTGCTGAGCAGCAATAAATGTGTCAAATATGACCAACTTGAACCCATCTGTGGGGGGAAATCTTTCAGCTTTGAGCAAAATTCCCAAAGGTGCAGATTGCTATTGAAATGATTGGATTTCGTCCACTAAATTTCGCTGAGCAATGATAAATGTTGACCGCACCTCTACGTTGACCGCACCCAACTCGAATTTGATGCCAAGTTTGAACAAGGAAAACTTTAACCCTGAAGCCCAAAGTATAACTCAGTTTTTACGCATATGCAAGGTTTCACATACTGTGCATGTGACGCACATTTTGTCAAAAGAATAGTATGCGCGTACTGTACGCACGGCACCCGATTTTTGTAACCAGGTGACACACGCATTAAATTTGTTTTGCAGTAATCAGTTGTTCCACAAGGTGGCAACACTGGCCCGGGCCATTATTTCACAGTAGAAAACTAAAAGAAAGAGATGAAACAACAACACAATAGTGGAGACTGTGACAACAACAGACAACTTTGGTTTAAATGGGTAAAAATTGATTTTTTAATCGATCATACCTGGATAAAAATAGTGCACTGGACAAAGATTAAATAGTTTAAACACAGGTGTTGACCGCCTGTGTTTGCGCGTACTATCAAACGGAGTATACTTTGAAAAGCTACATGACTGTGCGCATGCGCTAGTGTACGCGTACAAAAACGAAGTATAGTTTGGGCTTACAGCAAAATTCCCAATCACACAGATTTCTTTTGAAATTACTCTATTTTTTACTTCGAAAATTCACCAATTCCAGGAAATGTGACCACACTTCTACTCAGCTAATCACTGGACAACCCAACAGCTAATCAATTCTGATTAACAGTCTTCCAAAAACAATGAAAACATCGTTGATAGTCACACTGCCAAATTACATCTGACTACAAATGCTACAGTTTGATCATTAAACAGCAAATATGGATGTTTATTTTTAGAGTACTCTACAATTTTCAAAGGATATTTCTGGAGCATGATAAAAGCATAGCTGATTTGTACCATCGTCCTTAAAAGGAAGGACTTCTACAACACGACATATCTGGGAAACATTCTGCCTAACCCTCAAACTGGAATGCAGTAATCACATTAAACAACGGTTTTATGTGTCAAATGCCAGCACTGATCAAGCCTGAAGGTGCAGTTTTCTTATTCGTTTCATTGTCATTTGGACTGCATCACAGTAGCTTTGTTTGTACTGGCCCACTATGAATCTACCGAGCTGTTTTCCCCTAAGGCCAAACCACATAAAACTAAAAGCAGCTACTCTTTGGTGAGAATCAGCGAGCCGATGCTATTTCCAGTGAGGTCTGGAGGCGCTTGAATGGCGATAGACACAGCCTTGAACTTCATGAAGCCTTTTTGAACTCATACTTGGCCTCATTCCTTTCTCTGTCAGTTCAGGAAACTACTGCTTTTACTGTCAGTCCAAACCCGTATGACCGACAGAGGCTGTCAAGCTTTAACGCAAGAGGTCATGCAGGTTTGAAACAACATGAGGGTGATGAGATGATAGTTTTTTAGGTGAACTACACCGAAACGCCTTACAAACAGAATCTGGTCCTTTTGATCTTCAAAAACTTTCAACTTACTGAATTATTATAAATAACTTATTTGCAAATCTTTGTCAATCTCATTTCATAAATCCATTACAACAGTCCTTAATAGATGCATATTCCTATAGCACTGCAGTAAACATCCAATATAAGGATTCCCACACCTGAATTCTCAAGACTTTTCCAGTCTTTTACGATTTCTGGATAAGGATTTTTTTCAAAATCTTGTTGTAGACATTATTACTCCCACCAAAAGTACCAATTTCTAGCTGATGGAATATTTTAGAACTGAATTCACAAAAGAAGTGTATGACTATGGTTAACGTTCGTTACATTTCCTGACCTTAAAACAAACTTTCCAAATACTTCCAGGTTTTCCATAACCAAATGAATCTTGCAATATATACTACTATATAATCTTAAAGGGACAGTTCACCCAAAATGGAAAATTTACTCACCTTCAAGTTGTTCAAAACCTGTATGGGTTTCTTTTCTCTGTATTCTACACAAAAGAAGAATGTTAGTAACCAAGTTGACGGTAGCCATTGACTTCCATAGTATGGAAAATAAATACAATGGATGTCAACTGTTTGGTTACCAACATTCTTCAAAATATCCTTTTTTTGTGTTCAACATAAGAAAGAAACTGATACAAGCCTGGAACAACTTGAATTTGAGTAAATTAAATTTTCATTTTGGGGTGAACTAACCCTTTAAATATGCGAGTTGTACATCTGTTGCTGTAGTTCACCAAAAATGAAAATTGTGTCATTATTTATTCACTCTCATGTATTTCCTAACCTGCACGTCCATCTTTCTTCTGTAGAACACAAACAATGATATTCTGAGAAATGTTTCAGTGTTTTTTGTTCACATCTTACAGGTTTTGAAAGAACATGAAGGTGAGTAATGGAATTAAAAGAATTTAAAAGAATTTTGGGTGAACTATCCCTATAAACCTGTTAATAAATATGTAAAACGAATGTTTACCCTACATATCCCAAAGTAAACTTACAAGCAGCAACTGAAGGCACCACATTAAGCTTGGGGGAAATAAAGGTCAGTGTGACAAATAAGGCTGTTGTTAGATTTATTAAACACCCACTTATGGAGCGCCATCTTGGACAACGGGAAGAGGGCAGGTACTGTGAGGATCCCATAGTCTGGAATGACGTTACGCACAATCCGCGGCTGAATGACGCGTATGTTCACGTACGTAACGTCAGTCTGGTGATTTTCGAATCTGACCGCTTACTCGCATCGGCCTGTTTGCACTAACAACACCTCCCTCTTTATGACTGAAACTTTTAAGTCTTTGCACCACCTCAACACAGACTTTTAACGCTCGACACTTGAGTTTTAACAGCACAATAATTATTTTTAAATATATTGGCCGAATACAACCAGCTAACCTAGATGATCTAGTGACAGACTTAGCCCAAATAAGTAAAGGCGCAAGAAATCGAAACGCACCCTGTTGAAAAAAAACAGCATATGCTGGTTAGGTATGTTTTGATGTTGGTTTAAGCTGGTCCTTTGCTGGTTTATGCTGGTCATGTGCTGGCAAAGGACCAGCATTAACCAGCAAAAGGACCAACTTAAACCAGCAAAAGGACCAGCTTAAACCAGCAAAAGGACCAGTTTAAACCAGCATCCCAGTGTCAAAACATACCTAACCAGCATATGCTGGGTTTTTTCAACAGGGCACTCATCCTGGGTGTACAAAAATATCTCCAAATTATTATTTTTTGTTTAGTCAGCTAGCAGCCCGTATGTGTTAGCTTTAACTCCCATTCAAGCTGATCAGGCCCTGGATTTCTAATAAACGGGCTGACAGGTTGATCGAAACCATGGCCGTGTGCCAAACCCTTGGGAGTCTCCTACAAAGACAGCGCTGCAGAGTTCCAGCAGCATTTTGGCGCGTTCTACGCCAAGGCGTGTAAAATCCCGCTTTATTTTAAATCGAGCTTCCTTTTTGGCGCTAATTCCAAATTAAACGCGGTTTAGAGCCGCACTCCGACTCCGCGCCTGTGCTGACCAAACGTGCTGTCTAGGTAGGCAGCGTACTAGTTATTAAAACACAGCCACAGTTTTCAGCCCTCCACTAAAGGCAGCATAAAGAGTGTAGCTCATAACGCGTATTTACCGTGATGTTTACGAATGTGCCCCCCTCCTGCGCTGCCCACACGTATTTAGAGTCCGAGTTGCACCCAACAATGGCGCAGTCCTGGCAGCAGCCATCCGACATCAGGTTATCCACGTAGCTCTGCCATGACGACATACTTGCCTTCGGCTTTCAAACGCTCACAAGCTAAACTAGCCTTAAAAAGACGGGACTGACAGTTTCGCGCGGTTACTGTGTATCTGGATGTCCCGCACGCCCCCTTCTCTAATGAGAGTTTGAGCAGTAGAGTCCCAGCTGAATGGAGACTCTGGGTGTAGTCCCTCAAATATCCCTCCGCGCAGGCGCGCTTAGGCTGCGGTCCATTAGAACAAAGCCGTATGCGCGGATTAATACGAGTTCTGATTGGACGCTAGTGTGCATGACCGTTTAGAAGCCACGTTTTGTGTGACAAAGTTAGTTAATGTGTGCAGTATATGTAAGAAACAACAATACATTTTTACCCATGATGCTGGGACTACTATTTCAGTTTACGTTTGGTTTGAACCGCACGTTTCACGTTGCTTTCAGGACCAAAATTTCAGTGTTATTCACATCAAAAGCGGTTTCAAAAGACCTCTGGTTTTGTCACATGGCAAAAAACAAACTCCAGATGTGACCTAATGTTGGCCTTTCTCTGAAGCGGCTTAATTCCTTTTTTTTTCTTCTTCATTTTGTAGATCCAGAACTTTGCCTGTCATCTGTTTTTATTTTATTTAAAACAATTTTTACACTCTCGAGTATTTTCGTCCAAACAGTTTTTATTAAAGGTCCTCGTGACAGCAGTGATTCATTTTAGCTGCAACACCTCACCAAGTCAGTGATATTTTTGGGTGAGATCAAATAACATTTGATTACATTTGAGTTGCTACACAGTCGGGAAATAAGGTATCTGTTCAGGTCGGATCACAGGTGGATTTCGGAAGAAATGGACAAACTGCTTTATGTAGCAACATCACATATGTTTCTGTACGTGTATGTAACATCCAAAACTGACATAATGAAACCTGATAAAATGCATTTATCAGTTTGACAACATTAAATCGTTCGGATTTGTTGTTTATCACCACATAAATCATAGCCTCTTCCGACCTCTTGTGGACAAATCACGTAATGACATCAAAAATTAATATTCATAATGTGACTTTACACAGCCAAGTTAAGGCTGCTCTGTGCCAGCTCAAAATTCGGTGTCAAGACATAATGCTGCATAAAAGCCAGATTAAATTATGTCTGCTCGCAGCCTCTAGTATAACAATATTATAATGAATATGCATTCATTCCACCTCTGAGCAGCATTAATTTGTCTGTGTTAAGACTCCTCCTCTTCAGAAGCCAGAAAATAAATAATTTTATTTCTAGGTATATTTTTAAAAACAGTTGATAGATACATATTTTTACACTTATTAATTCAGCAGACGTTTTATTAAAAGTGGCTCAATTTCATTTTTGCATATTATTGGCTGGCACAAAAACAGTGTCCATGTTATTTATTGTTAGTAGCCTAGTGCAGAGAGAGATACAACTAAAGCAGCATTCACGAGATTTCTAGTACAACTCTCTCGCAGAAATTAGCAGATATTTTGGACGGGATATTTACAAAGGTGAAAGCAGATAATACAAAATGCAGTAATTTCCCAGAAGCTCGAACACATGCAGTGCAAATATTTACCAAGTAGACTAGTTGACATGTTTCGTATTTGTGTTACTCATATTAATTTAACGAAAGCAAAACGTTTTGTTCAATGGAGATTAACAAGTTACACAAAACGTGCTTGAATGATCACAAGCACAAAATTATGCCCGATTGTATCTATGCTGCGCTAGCGACCTCTTGTGGATTAGGTTTGTATTGATATAAATACAGATTAGTGCTATTTTCGGTTATGTTAGAAAAGTAAAACAATTATGAAACCCAAAAATAGTTCACGAAAGAGCAAAAATGTTACATGAAGTAATAAAGTAGCATAAAGTATCTCTAAACAAAAGCTGTTGTAAACAACAATTTGAGAATTTCAAAAATTAGTTAAAATATTAATCACATAACATTCAAAACTCAGAGTTGCCCAACTAAAATTTATATTGTGTTCACCTGTTTACCCAACAGCTATCACAAAAATATGATATTGTAATTTTAAAAGCAAAAATTCACATACTGAGAGATTTAGTTTTTGTGAATAAAAAAATAAGTCATGTTTACTCACAAGGAGTCTTGCACAGCCTTCATTGTGCAATGAAGGCAAGGCCAATATACACGAGACATATAAGATAATAACTTGAGAAGACGTGCATAGCTATGCAACAGCTGAGAGGAAAAAATTGTAACCAATGTCAACAACTTCAAGAATTAATTGATTTGTTTCTTTGACATAATAAATCACTCTCTTTTTCAAGTATCTCCTCACATATCAGTTCAGTGAACCTTTGCAAAGGTACATATATGATTTGCATGTCAATGTTATGCTTTTATTGTAATTTTATGTTTACACTGACACCGTTTTTATGTCAATCTATGAAACTGGAGACCTGGAATCAACTTGTGACTTAGGAAATGAACAAAGAAAACCCTAGAAATCGTAAGTTTTTGGTAGGTTTTTAAAACTAACCAGAAGGCATCTGAGTCTTGGCTTGGCCTGGAAAGGCATGAAATTTGACTTGGACTTCTTCTCAAAAACATGGTTTCAGCACATGTACGGGATGTTTACAACCAAGTAATGCATTACAATATTGCGCTACTCCATAAAAAAAGTAAATAAAAAAAGCAACTTGCATTACTTATTTGAAAAAGTAACTCAGATATTTCATTGTACTTAAAAAGTAGCGCAAAAGTAACGTAACGCATTGTTTTCCATAAAAAGGAACTAAGTAATGTAATTAGTTACTTTTTTATGGAGTAACGCAATATTGTAATGCATTACTTTTAAAAGTAACTTTAAAATGTCTGTTAAAGGTGGCATAGCAAGCCTGTTCAATATTATAAAATCATTTTTGTTTCCACCATAACTAGCAACAAACCTGTTTGGTTGTGTCCAGTCTGGTTTTTCAAATTTACATAAAACCACTTGAAAAATCCGCTCGTGTATGATAGCCAACTACAATCAGCAAAAGTAAATGACCCTTTGACAGGAAATAAGATTGAAATGTAAGATATGTAAATAAAGCAGCTGTGTCTAGACAGAGAAACAAAATATGAATATAATATCATATAATTGCGGTTCATAATATCACTGGTGTAGAAAATAAAACTTCTGTTTTTATCAAATGTTTTTATGAATTCATTATTAAAATCATTAATAACGTTATCAGAGAATCCAATAAGAAAAAGAGTAATACAAACATTTACACAAATGTATTTATGTCGTCTGAATTTGTTTCCCCTGGCACTTGTTTAAAAAAAAACACGAATAATGCGTAGTGGTTGCTATTCCCGACTGAGTTACGTACGCTTGTGCGCAGTCCACCCATAGAGCAGCGCGTGCGTTACGTAGCCATCTTGTGTTGAGCGAAGGAAGCGGAGCCGTTAGCGCGAGAGCTGCACTGACAGCCGACAGACTGTCAAACAAACCATCGCTCTGCTCCCGACAGACTGCGTTAACATCAGAAACAGAGAGCAAACATGCGTTACGACGTGTCAAGATGTCTATCCGATGTGTTTCGCGGAGGATATGTGCTTTTGAAGACGGCAGAGCGCTAAAAACGGACGGCGCCTCAGAGTCCCGCGACTGGAGAGTTTCAACTGCGAGGGCGGCCTTGAGGGAAACTCTCACTCCGGGACATGGCCTTCGTTTAGGCCACGGAGGATAAACACACGGGCTCGGAAGGATTAAACACAGCTGGAATAAAGCTGTCCTTGTGTTTGGAGCTTCAGGAGTTTCAGTTTGAAGGATTTAAAGGACTAAAAATGGCTCGATGAGGACGGAGCTCTGAGGGAGTCTTGCGTTAGCGTGACGCTAACTGAAAATTACATGACATATTTTCATATACAATGCGTTGCTACGCTTATATTTGAGCTGTGCCCTGCACTTTGACGCGTTGGGATACACTTAAAGCTGTCAAAATGTCTAAAATGCCATCAAAAAAGAAGAGCTGTTTTCAGATCACCAGTGTAACGCAGGCTGCGCAGGTGGCGGCCAACAGCAACACTGATGACCCCGACGACCCCAGGACTGAGGACATGTCCTCATCCGAGATATACGACACGTCCAAAGCTGGAGATTTCGAGCCGGAGACGTGTGATGTCAGTTTATCGGATGAATCGCTACATAACGAGGCCGAAACATCTGGGGCGAGCGCCCAAGATGCTCCCATAACGAACATACCTGGTTCTCGCAACGCAAGTGCGGTTCATATAAACCCACCTGTCCGTTCAGTCAGTGGGTCTGTATCTTCCCAGTCTTCGGTTGCATCTAATGCACCATCCAGCATCCAGACGTCATCAGTTAGCAGTTCTGCCACAGTAAGTAGCTGCAGCTCCCGTTTCAGGGTCATCAAATTAGACCATGGCACAGGTGAACCCTTCAAAAGAGGTAGGTGGACTTGCACCGAGTTTTACGAGCGAGATACGGACGCTTCCTCGTCTGGCCGGACTGTGGATAGTGTTAAACACGCAAGTGCCGCGGATCACAGCGCGGACAGGGACGGACTAGGAGTCACCAGAGGTTCAGTGGCTGTGCATGTTGGGTCTTCAACATCTGCAGCAGAACCTCATACAGATAGTGGCTACTTATCTGCACCATCGAACCCGCCTGTGGAGCTTCAGCAACAAACCCTAGGCATCTCGCAGCAGGGATTAGGGCTTGTAGCCCAGAATAACCATATCAAATCTCCAAGCATGCCTTTGGCAACTCAACCACAGCCATTTTTCCCAGGCAAACAGATGCAGAAACCTGGGCAGATTCATCAGAGTATTATTCCATCGAATCAGTCCCAGACGGTCTCGGTGGCTTCGCTTCCGCTCGTGACCCCATTAAACCAGGGTCCGTCACCTGTCATGACTCCGGCAGCGGGAAGCACCGCTCACGTGCTTGAATTACTTCCCCAGCCCGTGGACGGCAGAGGGCTTCCCATCAGCCAGCCGGAGCATGTTCTGGGGCTTTTACAGCAGCAAGGCATCAGCACGGCTCTAGGGACCATGACGGCTGCAGCTGTTGTACAGCAGGCACCGGTGCCGCTCATTCAGCCGGCGGTAACCGTGTCTGTCTGCGCCCTTGCTGGGGTCCCTGGTGTGCAAAATGTGCCTGCTGTTATGTCCAGTGCCTCTAATGCCCTCCAAAGCATGCCAAAACAGACGCAGCAGAATCCGACTCAGGGAGTCCACGGCGGGTCGCTAGAAGGACTGGGTGCGCAGACGACCCCCGCTAACTTTAGCCAGTTTCCCACCGGCGTCGCCCAGGCCATGGAGAACCAGAGGAAGCCCGACGGGCTGCTCCAGAGCTCTGTACTCATAGGAAAATATGCCATCAAACCCCTGAATCCCGAGGGCTTGCAGCTTCACACACCTGCTGTCAACAGCCTGTTTGGAATGGCTATACCCATTGATGGGGATGAGGACAGGTAAACCTTGATTCTTGATATTGCTCACTTCGATTAAAATAGTAATCTATCAAGTAATAGATTCTGTAAAGTAAATCATTTTATCACAACTTTTGCAGGTATTGCAAATATTTACTTTCGAAAGCATGCTACCCTGAAAATATGAGTTAATATTGTTGCGTCTGAGTCAAAATGTGCGTGTTGACTCATATGTTTTGCCTTTTTTTTTTTTTTAAAGTGGGTAGTTTTTCACTAAACTAGTCCTGGAGGCCCCCTAAATTATCCTTTTTCACAGACTGTGGTGATGCATTTTCATGTTTATTAAAATCGTAAATCTGGGACGTCCAAACCTGTCCCTGAAGGGCCACTGACCTGCAGAGTTTAGCTCCAGACCTAATTAAACACATCTGAACCAGCTAATCAAGGTCTTCAGGATTACTAGAAACTTCCAGGCAAGTGTGTTAAAGTTGGTTGGAGCAAAACTCCCAGGAACAGGATTGGACACCCCTGTCATGAATTTACCAACTTTTGTGTCCATTTGTAATAAAATGTATGTAAATTATAACACTGTATTTTGTGTTATATTACCTTGGCATTAATTCAGTTAAATCAGAAATCTAGTTAATGCTGTTGTGTGGATGTTGATAATATAATCTCTCTGTATTTTATTTATTTTTGGGAAAGGCATAGAAACACTATTGTGGACTTTTGAACTCCTTGGCTCACGGTGAGTCAAATGCATACCAAAATCTACATTTTTACAGGTGAAGATTTTCTAACATTTTGAATGATCCGAAAATGTTGTTTTTCTTTTGCGCATCTAAAAATCACTACAATAGAAGTTTACCCAACTATGATGAATTCTGAGAACCCAGTAAATGTGGAAAAAGGTCCATTCCACATTTTGAATGTCACCTTGATTTTACACATCTGATTAAAGTCACCAGCTCATTTATATTGTATTTACATCTAAAATAAGAAGGGGGTCTCCAGGTCAAGAAACCTATTTGTGAACTTAAGTGAAACTTAATTTGTAACAATGTAATGATTATTTCTTCAAATCATGTTATACCAGATGTTTTGAGCTAATTACTACAAACCTATTTTGCATAGTAAGAATAGTTTTAATTTGCTAGGTAGTAGTTACTCCTTATCACTTTGGTTCAGGTGTGTTTGATTAGGTTTGTAGCTAAACTCTGCTGTACTGTAGTTCTCCAGAAGCAGGATTGGCTGCCTTGACTTCAAAGGATTTTACTAAAATGTGTAAAAGTCTGTCAGCCTTTATTCACCTATATGTCATTCCAAACCTGTAAGACTTTTCTTTCATCTGCAGAAGACAAAAGAAAATATTTTAAACTGTTTTTAGTCTATGCAGTTTGAGTCAGTGGGGTTTAAAACAAAGGTGACGCTTTTAAAATATCTTCTGTTGTGTTTTACAGAATAGAAAAGAAGAAAAAGACACTTTGTTGTTCTCAAGCTTCAGTGGAACAGTCAGTGCACACATGGCTCAGAAATGTGTTGATCTGAGGAAGCACCTAGCATAATTTTTTTGCACGTAGTTATTTCCCCTGTCCTGCAAACCACTTCACACTTGTTTAAAAAAAGGCAGTGGTTATGAGCATTTCAAAGGTAAAGCCTTTGGAAAGTTTGACACATGAGTGTCTGACTCAAGTGATCTCGTTTTGTGTCACACCAAATTTACCCAGCGCACTATCCAGTTCCTAAATATTTGTTTTGGTGCCACTGTTTCCTCCTCATATGCTTTTCACCAGAAGTTGAGCTGTTTATTTAGACTGATTAGGTGATGTTAGCATGTGTTTCCTATCTTGTGATGTGCAGAAGCTGCTCTCCGCTCTATGCACTAACACTGATAAGGCCTTCAAACATGTGTAACATCTGCATGATGTTATGCTGCATATGGATGTTGTTTACTGTCAGCAGTTAGTAGGAATCCAAGAAAAATCTGTACATTCTGTGCTGAATACATGCTGTCACCATTCTTGGCAGGCTTTTGAGAAGTTTTGAGATGGACCTTTAAACTATACAGGTTTAGATAAAATTGTACACATTTGTATTTATATTTGTGTAGGGTTTTATGCCTGGTTCAGACTACACGATTTTAGCCCGATTTTGCCACGATTTGCTTGGCGTAGGGTGTCGTGGGGATTCGTAAACGACAATGGGCGTCGGGACGCAAGATTCCATCGTTTCAGCTCGTGTAGTGTGTCATAGTGGACGACAACCGATCCCACGTCTGCGATGCTTCACGACATCACGACAGAAAGACTAGCATGTTTAATTTTTTTCCCGTCGTCCACGACGAGTTATGTCACATTGGTGACGTTGACCAATAGCAGCCCAAAAGCTCGTTCATACACAGGTTTCAAACATGGCGAAACGAAAGAGAGATGATGGTGCTGCTAGGTGGAATTATGAGATGGAGGAAAGGTTCGTGGAGCTGTGGCAACAGTACTCCTGCCTGTATGATGTGTCATCGAGGGACTACCACGACAGAACAAAGAAAGAAAAATGCTGGCGAACTATAGCGGAAGCGCTTCAGCAATGTTTACACTCTTGTTTTCGGAAGTTAGTCGCTAGTTCCGCCTTTTCGATGACATCAAGCGCGTCGTTAAAGATGGCACGCGATGAATGGTCGGGAAGCAACGTGTAGTCTGACATGTTTCTTGTCCACGACACGACAAGATTTTAGGAGTCAAAATCGTGTAATCTGACACAGTGACTATCGTGACCGACAAAAATATCGTGTAGTCTGAACCCGGCATTAGTAACATTTTCTTTGCAAAAAGAGAATAAAGGCTATTTTATGTCAATTTGTGACCCTGGAGCACAAAACCAGTCTTAAGTCGCTGGGGTATATTTGTAGCAATTGCCAAAAATACATTGTATGGGTCAAAATGATTGATTTTTCTTTTATGCCAAAAATCATTAGGATATTAAATAAAGATCTTGTTCCATGAAGATCTTTTGTAAATTTCCTACTGTAGCATTGCTAGAACTTCATTTGGACAACTTTAAAGGCGATTTCCTCAATATTTTGATTTTTTTGCACCCTCAGATTCCAGATTTTCAAATAGTTGTATCTCGGCCAAATATTGTCCTATCCTAACAAACCTTACATCAATGGAAAGCTTATTTATTCAGCTTTCAGATGATGTATAAATCTCAATTTGGAAAAATTTACCCATATGACTGGTTTTGTGGTCCAGGGTCACATTTATGATTTTTTTTTATTTATTCTAATACTGTTTTAATGACAATTAAGCAGTTTAAACCAAATTATTTAGCAGATTTTTAGAATTGATGCACTAAATGCTGGTTTTAATGAAGCAAAATGACTAGTACTACTATTATATTACAGTGTAAATGGGTTTTCTTTTGTATTACGTAGACTTTAACTTTGGTGCAGCACAGATTAGGGAACGAAGATGCAGAAAGAACTGAAGGATGTTTTTTCTTTTGAAAATGCTTGGAAATATTGCAACATGGGTGGCAAATGTTATCAAGGTTAAAGGAAAGACAGCAAAGGGTGAGTTTTCAAAATAGCTTATTTACTGTCATTGACGGTAGTTGATATGCTTTTCCTCTGTTTATTTTGTTGGCATAAATGCATGCGCACACGTATTTGGGCAGTGAGATTTACCAAAATGATTGGAAAATAGACAAGGCAACAGGTCAGTTTTATTTTGACTTGATATTATTGAGGATGTGAGTAAACTTGAAAAAAATGAAAATTTGCTGAAAATGTACTCACCCTCAGGCCATCCAAGATGTAGATGAGTTTCTTTCATAATCAGATTTGGAGAAATGTAGCATTACATCACTTGCTCACCAGTGGATCCTCTGCAGTGAATGGGTGGCGTCAGAATGAGAGTCCAAACAGCTGATTAAAACATCACAATAATCCACAAGTAATCCACACCACTCCAGTCCATCAGTTAACATTTTGTGAAGTGAAAAACTGTGTGTTTGTAAAAAATTAATTCAAAATTAAGACATTTTTACTTCAAACTGTTGCTTCCAGTCGTCTTCTCTGAATGGGGAGAGAAATCTGCACAGATCAAGCGCTGTTTATAAGCTATAACAGTCCAAAACAGTTTAAAATAAATGTTGTGATGTTTTTATCAGCTGTTTGGACTCATTCTGACGGCACCCATTCACTGCAGAGCGTCCATTGGTGAGCAAGTAATGTAATGCTTCATTTCTCTAAGTCTATTCCCGTGCAAAAACAAACTCATCTACATCTTGGATGATTTGAGTATGAGAACATTCAAAAATGTAATTTTTGTGTGAACTATTCCTTTTAGGCTGCTGTTGAAAGAAGGTGACGTTGTTCCAAACCAAAGACATCTTTTTTTCTCACCTTTTAGACTGAGATATGCACATCAGCGTTTGAGTAGATAATCTGTTTATACTAAAGATTATTGCATTAACTGAGGATGATGCGAGATGTCTCAGTTCTCTAGCACAGTGTTTCCCAACCGGGGTGCCGTGTAAAAAATAATTTAATATTTTTAAATAGCTAAAATGTTCAAAAAAGCATCTATTATACAATATCCATTTCTGATGTCGCCAATAATCAGAGATGCACCGAAATTTCGGCTGCCGAAAATTAGTTCACCGCTCAGGTTGGTTTCACTGTCACGTGGTGTGACGCTCTGCGTATTATCCGCTCTATGCGTGTGCGCTCCGCTCAGTCGCTCCACTCATATACCGTTCATGCTCATCGGAACAGCAGAGTCCACTCAAAAATTGAGCAGACAGGAAACATCGATGTAGTACAGTATTGTTTCTGTCTGCAATAGCCCTACTGTGCTGTAACATGGTGTGGTATATGGGCAACTCTGGTAACGCTGCCCTCTCATTTATTGATCTGCTAACCGCTATGTTATGCTCACATGTTATGATAATAATAGCTTTCTAGGACTAAACATTATTTGGATAATTGGTAAAAAAAAAAAAAACGACTAAAAAAAGGTTGGGAAACACTGCTCTAGCATATC